ATACACTTTAGCACGCGTTGTCGTAATTGCTCTCTTGTAATTGTACGCGCGTGTTTGCAACACTCACGTAACACACGGTATACACTTAAACGGCGTTATTGTCTTTTTTCTTCCTTCCATTTCACCGGAATGCTATTCATTTTAATTAAAGTCATAACTCTCTCTACTTCCACTAGACATTTTTTTTTTTTTTTTTTTTTTATTACCATACAAGAAAATAGCGCATATCGAAACGAGTGCATGTATATTAGCAAGTAGGGAGGGAGAGAGAGTGCAGGGCATGCGTCAAAGAATCCGAGAGCAAAGAGGGCGTAAGTATTTTCCTTTTCACGCTCCATAACGACGAGAGGAGCTTGTGTGCAAATACGCGCTCGAGAATATATTTATGTATACAGGGAAGTTGAAGAGAGGAAGCAGAGCAGGGAGATATACATGTGTACACGTAAGAGCCGGCAACGTGCAAAAACTCCCTCCTTAATTTATTCGCATTTTAAATAATCTTGTTTTACACACATATACACACGTGCACGGATAGGTACTGCTCGGAGAAAGAGTAAGGATATATACACTTGGACACAAATTTCGATAATAATCGCTCGAGAAGAGAGAGAGAGAGAGAGAGATGTGTGACCGGTAATCGGTCGGTTTATCTGCTCTCGAACGCGAGCCACCGATTTTCACGCGAAAACACATACACACACACACACACACACCGGGCGAGATAGCGGTCTCCCTAATTGAGTTGCACTGCGTCTTAATTAATACTCGCGAGGGCGTTTCCTTCCCGGGCCCTTTGTCCGATACGTTGCTTTGTTTTTTTTCTTTCTCCGTTTGAAGGCAGCGTAGCGTTGCAGTAGTGACCGGCGACGTCGAAAGATCGGCAATCAAGATTATACACGCGAATGGAGACGCGTGAAATGAGAAAGTGAAGCAAAGAATTAGAAAAAAAAATGCTAATTGTATTTTTTTTTTCTTCCAACCTGCAACTCGGGAGGACGCACAATGACTCCTATATATATATAGCTAGTTTCAACCACGTTTTACCGCTATGATTGTCTTTTTTTTTTCATTTAGTATTTATTAAATATTCTGACAAGTCCGTGACGATAAAATTACAGTTTTCAGGCGCTCATAAAAGGCTCGTGACTCTGGTTGGATAAAAAATGCACAGATCCGCTCCTATACATCGGTATTATATGAGCGAGACGATCGCGAATTTGGAAAAACGAAGAGAAAGAAAAAGACGCCGGTAGACTTCTTTTTTCACACGCACATGTTCGTACCTCGTGTGTAGCGCGTCCTCGTAAATCGCGGAGGCTTGGGAAAGCCGGTAATGCATAATACGGGCAGGCGAAACGAGAACGGGATCGGCGTATAAGCAATTCCACGCCGTGTCATCCTCGCTCGTGTATACACGTATATTGGCGACCCGCAAGATAGCCCGACGTTTTAATTACTCGCGCACAGGCGCGGTGTGCGCGCAGAGCCTAACGGTAGCGATTTAGAGGGAGGCGCTCCCGCGTCGGGCAAAACAACCGATATCACGTCCGGTGAGCGAGATGTACTCCTCCCCCCCCCCCTCGCGCTAGCGGTTTCGACGTTTTTTTGCAAAATCACTATATATCTCATCGTACCGCGATGCGAGCATGCAAATTTTCGCCGCCTCGGCCTTACTTATTACATTCGTGCCTTGTATATGCATACGCATGAAGTGACATGTATTCGCGGCTCACTGGGCTTCAGATTTAATTACATATGTTCTTTTCGATGCCGGCTACTGTACGTTTATATTGCCTATACCCACATGACAACGTGGTATTTTGATAATCGAGTTTTAAGCGATGCGGAGGAAGGGGCGCATATATATATATATATA